AACAGCGCTAGCTGTCCTGGAACTCACTCTGTAGACTAGCCTGGCCTTGAACTCACAGAGATCCACCTGTCTCCGCCTCCTGAGTGCTGGGACTAAAGGTGTGCACCACCATTGCCTGGCGTTTCTTTCTTTTTTTAATTATTTAAAGGCACTTGTGCTGAATTCATATTTTGGCTATTACAGAAAACCTGTAAACATTAGTGTGAGGGTTTTCATGAAAACTTACATTTTGGAACTCATGATGGAACAGGACTGGCCATAGAATGAACAGTGTTAGCTTTCTATACTTTATAAATTTACTTTTAATTGGTTTGTTTTCTTGATATCTAGTTTCTTGAGTTCTCCAAGGGCACTCATGACACAAGGTTTATCAACCGCTCCAGGCAGATCTCATGTTCTGGAGTAGTTGACCAGCAAATAATAGATTCCACAGTGGTGTGTGTGTGTGTGCACCCATGCACGTGCTTTTATTTGGTTACAGTTTGGTATGCTTTGTTTTTCTTTTGGATGATGTTGGAGTTTGTTTTCTAGGTTTTGGGGGTTTTGTTGTTGTTTTGGGCTTTGGGTGTGTTCTCTGCTGTGGTGTTTAATTTTAGCAATTCTGAAATTCCACTGTTCTAATACTATTTACACTATTGTCAAAATCAAATGAGCATACCAGTGTGGACTGATTCCGAAGTGTTCCATTTGTTATTGATGGGTCTGTTCTAGACCAATGGTACATTGTTTTGACTGCTGCACTTTAAAATCAGGTATGGTTGTGGTGATTCCTGTCCCTATGTTTTTTCCACATACATTTTAAAATCAGTTTATACACAAACATACTGCTGGACTTTTGGTTGAAATTGCTTGGAACCATTTTGGTGAGAGCAACAGTCTCTTTCCTCTGTGGAGCCATAGGTTCTAACCACCTAAGTTCACAGAGCACAGTGTAAACTGGAATTGCTTACAGGACGCTTGGGAGAGATGGCTCAGCTGGCTTAGAGCGCTTGCTGCTCTTGTAGAGTATCTGTGTTGGGTTCCTAGCATCCACGCAGCAGCTCACAATGGTCTGTAACTCCAGTTCTGGAGGGATCTGACACCCTCTTCTGGACCCGGGTCCAGAACAGGCACCCCTGTGGTATACACACATGCATGAAGGTGCACACTCATACATATAAAACAAAAACAAACAAGTCTTGTAAAAAAAAATGCCTATAGGAAGTATGAGTGGCAGTAGTAATTGCTATTTTGTATTTTTCTTTTGCCAGGTGGCCAGTCAGGTGTAGCTAAAGAGCTTCAAGAGAGCACAGTTTATTTTGTTTGGAAGGATCTAGTACTCCAAGTAGAGCCACGTGGAAATGACATCAAGATGAAGCAGTCAAGAAGGCAGACACAAAGGGAACATTTAGGCCACTGTCACTGAGTATTCTCTGGGAAGGCAAGACAAGGCAGAGCTGGGTAAAGTTTCAGGATTGACGACTTTGAACTGTTTCCATAGGCTCTAACTGAGGGGTAGATGTTAGTTGCATAGCACCAGATCCCGGGATGACTGAGTGGAGGAGTTTACACAGGAAGTGCATCTGTAGATTATATATAAAGACCTGCCCACAACTGAGCCCTTCTGTCTCTAGGACTGCCGATCCTCTGGAAAGGGCAAACTTACCTAGTCCTAAAGGGAATAGGTACCGTGTGTGTGCATGTGTGCAAGAGAACTGGGACTAGAACCCAGGCCTGTATATATATGAAACATATGAAGCAAGTGATCCTTCCTCTCTCTTTCCTCTATGTCACACACACACACACAAATAAGTAAAGTATTAAAAAAAACCTAAGACTGTCCTTCCTGATTCTAATACAAATAGTAACTAGTTATATAGGATATATGTAATACTCAGGCCCTGCATGAAGATGAGTACTGTCACAACGGAGGTTTGATATTTGACTTATTACCCATGTGATCTTAGGCAAGTCAATTATTTGGAGTTTTGTTTTCTCAGTTATGAAAAGAAGATAATGATCATTAAAATAAAAAATTAGGTAAGCTGAGTGTGGCGTACACCTTTTATCTCAGTACTCCCGTGGAACAGGCAAGTGAATCTCTGTGAGTTCAAGGCCAGCCTGGTCTACATAGTGAGTTCCAGGACAGCCAGAGTTACATGGTGAGACCTTGTCTTGAAACAAACAAACAAACAGCAAAAACAAAACAAAAACTTAGGAGGGTTGAATTAGATATATCTGAATACTTAGCCCAATGATGTACACATATTCAATATTTTTGCAATTATTATACAAGTCCTTTTAATGTATTAAATACAATTCACTTTATCCTCACATCCTCATACACCTTGGACAACTAAAAGTTTGAGAACTTCAAACAAGGCTTGCCTTTATTGCCCTTTTGTGGATCTTGATATTAATTTTATCACTGGCCTAATAATATCACTGATATTATCTTTATCGCTGGCCTTCCATGGGCCCTTGAACTCTATTCTGTCATCCATAAGATGTACTTTTTGATACACAAATGCCTAACTGGCCTTGTACAAATGTCAACTTTCATTGGCAAAGCCTGGCACCAGATTCTAGTGTTACATGGATCACTGATGTGACTTTTCCTCTCCCAGCATGGATCTACACTGGGGCTGTCACAGAAAAGGGCAATGTTAGACTGGAGTTGACTTTACTCAAGACCTGAAATCAGTTTTCCAATGTCTGGGTGGCCTTCCTGAAAACTCGGCTGCTCTGCCTGAGGTAAATGGAGTGGCCTTGCTTTGGTTTGCCTACTCCTACAAACCTGTGTGTCTAGAGAATCTTTCCCCCTAAAAGACACCCTCAATGTCACATTGAACCTAGGGCAGATGATGCAGGGGGAGGTAGAGAGATGCCTGAAACCAAAGGAAGGGCAGAGGCACATCTCAAATTCCTCTAAGGTCATATTTGGAAGGGTGGAAGGCGCTGATATAAGGCAGTGATGAATGATAGGAGTTTGAAGTCTGATGTCACATAGATTTGGGTGTGACTCTTGGTATTGAGCAGGTCATCTTACTTCTCTGAATGAACTTAGTTTCCCCATCAAAATGATGGAAAAATTCCAACGCCTGTTTAGAAATTTGCTATCAGAATTAAGTGAGAGTTCATAGAAAGCAGTTAATTTGATACTTTCCTGAAATGTATGACGGGAACATCATCATTACTAAGGCCTTGGTGACCAAGAATAGCAGGAAGAAACAGATTAGCGGGGATGAAAAGCCACTTGGGGCTTCTGTGTCATCCTATGGGCTGTACTTGAATAGTTCTTGGTATTCAGGCAGCTTTTGTGAGCTACCAGAGGAGCGCTAAATGTCTAGATGCAGGTGTGTTCAAATTTTTGAGGCTGCGACACTGTCATCTACAAAATTCTCCCTGGAAAACCACACAGGTGCATTAGAGAAACAATAGCAAAAGTACCATCTTTATGTCTTAAGCTTATGATTTTTTGTTGTGCCACATTCTTAGTTATACCAGGCACATGTAGCCCATGGCCCAAAGTTGGACATGCCTAGTAGGGTTCTTTTTCAAGATACCCTGTTGTCCTGTTTATTGTGTGACTGTAAAGTATCGGAACCTGCTCCAGTTTTGGAGTTGTGTGTGTGTGTGTGTATGTGTGTGTTGGTGGGTGGGTGGGGGACTCAGAAGTCATCCAGCATCTTATTCAGCTGTGTCTTATTCAGCTAGTGTTTTTACTGTTGTGTGTCTGAGAGGTACAGTTCAGTGATGGTTGTTCATGACCCATCAAGTCATCTCTTCTTCGGGAGAAACACAGTCTTTGCCTGTCTCTCAAGTAAGAACCATTTGCCCAGAATGGTGAAGAAAGTGGCTCAAATCCCATCTCAGGGCGATGACTAGAAGGGTTTGTTCCTGGGTTAATTGTTCTTGACTTAGGAAGGATGTGTAGTACGCATTTTAACAAGTCTGGTATTGAGACCTAGAAACACTGTCATTACTTGATGTTCCTCCCCCATCTTCTGTTAATGCTAGGGATGCAATGCTGTAAGGTAGGCTAATCAAGTGCTCTACCACCAGGCTGAGGCCTTAGCACTGCTTAGCCTTTAAGCTACAGAATCCCATATGTAAAATAGATCAGAGCAAGCTTGTGGGTTTCCTTGTTTGCCCTCCCCACCTCCTCCAGCAGCTACTAAAGGCATCCCGAGACAGCAGGGAAACAGTCTGCACCACACCACAGTCAGATCCTGTTAGTCTCTTTTCCTGTTGTGCATAATTCCATGTCCCAGTCCCTTCGTGTCGGGAAAGGCGGCAGGTACCTGAGAGAATTGCTCACATTACATCCACAGCCAAGAGCAAAGAGCATTAAGTTGATACATACAGCTTGGTTTTCCATCTCTATTTTACCCAGCCTGGGATCCCGGGCCCAGAGAATGGTCCTGCTCAAAGTCACGGTGGGTCTTTCCACCTCAGCTAACCCAATTTTGATAGTCTATCACAGGCAGTCTCAAGTTCTCGTTAACCTGGATAGTTCTTCCCACGTGTTTCTGGGAGCTTGCCTCCTAGATGTCAAGTTGACAATATGGACCTTCATAGACAGCTCCCTGGCTTGTACCAGCACTTTTTGTCCAGGTCTTGGGCGGAAAGACTGAGCGTAGCTCGGTGTATGAGCAGCTGCATTCTAACAAACAGGCGTCTATGGTAACAACAAGTATTTAGTGGTTACACTTCCCCTTTTCAAATGCTACAGCAGTTAGAGCCATTGGTGGGGCTGACTGAATGTTTAGGAAACACAGACAGACCTTGGTATGTAATGAACTGTTATACCCAAAGCATGTACAGGAAGCATTTGGGGATTCTGAGGCAGGATGTGCTTCAGGTAATAAAGGAGAATATACTAATTTTCATGTACTTTGCATTTGAGTGAGCTCTTGGGCTGTTTTACAAAGAGGGCTACTTCTCCCACAGGGCCTAGCTCAACGTCAAGCATGCTCTTCTGTCTCGTGACCAACTGTTGGTCTTTCTTTCTCACACAGGTTGCAGATGCACATGTTGAATGGAGCTCTTCTGGCATTGCTGTTTCCTGTGGTAAATACCCGGCTGGTAAGTAGCCTCTTCTAGAAATGAATCAGCGACATCTAAATCAGTATATGCTCACGCCTTTGCTAGCTGACGTTTCTCCTAAGACTTTGTCCCTATGGTCATGTGATTTTAATTTGTACATGTTAATGTTGATGTTTGAAACACAGTCATGTCTGGAGTTAATGGAAGCTTGATGGGGCAGGAGTAGTTTGTTAGACTTGGGCTACAGCAAGGGTTTAGATCGGAACTAGGAAAACCAAAACTTAAATAAAAATTAATTTTCAAAAAAGAAAAACCAAAACTTTATATAGAAATTGGACAGATTCAGGCCGGCCAGATGGCTCAGCTGGTAAAGGTACCTGCCACCAAGCCCAATGACCTGAGTTCTATCCCCAGAACCCACTGGGTGGAAAGAGACAACCAATTCCTGTAAATGGTTCCCTGACACAGACAAAAACAAATATTAAAAAGGAGAAAGAAATTGGATAGGTTCTGTGGAAAGAAATGGATCTAGGACTGCACCCTTAGGCCGAGACATCTAGATCTTTTTAAGGGGGCACAATGGTGTAGAATGTCATGCTAGGGAGCCTCAAAACATGTCTATTTTGCCAAGGACCCTCTTGAGCCAGCATATTTCTTCTCGATCCACTCAAATCCACAGGGCAGAGTGCGTCACTTCCTCCATCTCCAACTTCAGGAGAAGTGGGACCTACAAAGCTGGGGAATATTATACTGCCTAGACTCCTACATGTGCGGCTCCTGAGAAATTAATGAGACACTTTTGAAAGTCCAGGGGACAGGTCAGAGGTGGTGCACGCCTCTAATACCAGCACTGGGGAGGCGGAGGTAGGTGGATCTCTGTGAGTTTGAGGCCAGCCTGGTCTACAGAGTGAGTTCCAGCACAGCTAGGGCTGTTACACAGAGAAACCCTGTCTGGAAAAACCCAAAAAGAAAGAAAGGAAGGAAGGAAGGAAGGAAGTCCAGGGGAAATCACCTTTAAAGATGGTTAATATAGCTTTATGCTTTCATGACTTTCAAGTCTGCCTCCTAGATGAACATCATAGATTAACCATTGAAGTGAAAATTCCTATTTTAGTTAGAATTTTGTAGTTTACAAGGTCTTTTGATATGATGGTTTTTTTTTTTTGAGGTAACCATATAGGACAAGTATTACAGCCTCTTGTTTCATAAAGGAAGAAATTGACATTCAGGATGTCACCTGAATTTTAAGTGACAGTTAAGACGAGAGTCAGAGCCTCTCAGTCCTAAAGTCAGGCCACACCCTGCTCCTTCTGAAGATTGCCATCATCTTGTCTCCTCCACACACATTCCTCAATATTGTAAACTGTGCTAGGCAAGATTTATATACTATGGCAGTAAAAATTACAAGTGAAAGTTCATCTAAAGCAGTAATTTTTGAAACTTCTCCCTATGCTCTGGACCCATCAGATTCTTATATTGGCTGGGCTGTGCTTTAGCTCAGTACTGGGATGTCTAGTAAATTCAAGGCTCTGCTTCCCATTCCAAGCACCATGAAACAAAGAAACAAGCAAGTAAGAAGGCTTGCCGGGTCCCACAGCCAGGGTAACTGATTGGCAGGACAGTAACAAACAGACCCTCAAGTGATGCCAAAGCAGGGCTCTTCAGACTGTTCCCAGGGACCCCTTATGTTAGACACATAATTTAGTTACTCTCAGTGTGTAGTTCAAAGTGTGGCCTCAAATTAAACATCAACTGGGTGTTGCTTTGTTAGAAATGGTGGGTTCAGGCCCCACCACAGATTTCCTGTATCTGAATCTACTTAGATGGTACCTTAGATGACCTAGACCCTTTCCTTCAAGGAGCCCAGAGCATCTTTTACGTGGACCATTTGGACCTATGTGAAATGAGAGATGGCAGGCTGTGCTGTTTCTGATTTAATAGGTGGGTTCATTCTGATCAATGTTCCCTTGTGAAATGGCATGAGCAGGCACAGATTGCGTCATAGGCACAATTGCCCTCAATTCTATGTCCCTCATAATATAATTTCCCTGAATTGACCTGCTAAATTGTAGATTCAGAACTTGTGCCTTGGGCCTTCAAGTGTAGCTCAATAGGAGAACATGTCTTTCTGGTGTACAAGAACCTGGATTCCTTCGCCAGTACCAAACAAACAACCACAACAAAACACTTCTCCTTAGTCCTCAGAACAGAGGGTGTCATGTATCACAGAATGTCGTGGATAACCCAAATTAACAGAATACACTTGTACTTTAAGAAAATAACTGATTTCATACCCCATTGCTCTTCACTGCCTGTGGCTTGGGAATGTGAAGCAGAAGTTGCTCTCTGCCTGTGGTAGGAAGAGCTAACCCTTGGGGAAGGACCTGCTGTTCTCTTGTCCCATCTTGCTCCTCATCTGGTTCCAGTTCCTAGGAGACTGAGAGGCCAGGTAACCAGAGAGCTGCTGCCTTAATTTTCCTTAGCTCTCTCAGCTATCAGGACCACCAGTACAGGGGGTGAGGGCACCTCAGAAAACCATTCCCTTCACCTCATGGAGCCACTGATTCTGAGTTTGAAGGTGGCTAGCCCAGAGTTCTTGCTAAACAACTTGGGCCATTTGTGCTTCCCAGTGAAAACCAAGGAACTGCTTCCTGGTAGAATCCTGAGCACATAGCAGAAATTAAGCAAATAGGAGAAGGAAAGCCCCAAGGGGCTTGGTCACACACAGGAGGGCATCTAGGATGCTGGTGGTGAGGTTTTCATTGAGACACTACTGTTAACAGCAACTGAGTGTGTCTCCTGTTTTCCTCAGCTTGCTATCAGTAACTACAGGGGCAGCAACCTCTGCTGCCACTTTGTGAGGGCCTATTTCGTGCCAAGTGCTGCTGTAACTGTTTTGAATGAGTGGATTTAGTTAATCCTTACAGCTTCTGAGGCTATGTTCAATTATCATATCTAAGGTCAAGATGCCAGTAGGGGGGGCTGGAGAGATGGCGCAGAGGTTAAGAGCACCGGCTGCTTTTCTAGAGGTCCTGAGTTCAATTCCCAGTACCCACATGGTGGCTCACAACCATCTATAATAGGATCTGGTGACCTCTTTTGGTGTGTAGGTGTATATGCAGACAGAACACTGTATACATAAGAGATAAATAAATCTTTAAAAAGATGCCAGTAAGACTGGCTTCTTTAGGCCTCTTTCTTTGGCTTGAAGATAGCAGCCATCATACATTTATCCTCATGAATTTTTGGTGTGGTCAACTATTCATGAAGACATCTATCACAGTGGATCAGAGCACATTCTGATGGCCTGCTTTCACCTTAATCTGGTCTTTAAGTCCCTGTCTCCAAATACACTCACATTCCAAGGTACCCAGGACTAGAACTTTGATATATAAGTGGGGAGTTACAGAGGACCTGGGTTCCATGATTCCTGTACTATCTTACACAGGTAACCTTTTTTCTTCCCTGCCACCCCCTGTTTTTTTCTTTCCCTGGCTTCTTTCTTCCACTCCTTTCCCCTTTTCTTCTCCTTTTCTTCCTTTTCTGTCTTTGTCTCCCTCCATCTCTTTTTTTCTCCCCCTTGTCACGGCATGGATTGGTTACAATACACAGTGCCAAGTTATAGTCAACCAGCTTATCAAGAATCTGTACCACTTTTCCTGTCACTGGAACTTGGGAAGAAGAGCATCCAGCCACCCTTTCTAAAATAAAGCTGAACAAAGCTCGTGTCTCCTGCATTCATCTGTGAAATTGGTATTGCTCTGGTTCTTTCATGTAGTCGGGGCTCCTCTTGAGCACCCTTGGCCTTTGGGGTAGCCG